AACCACCATTTAAAATTTTTGTTCTACGCCCATTGAATTTATCCCATCAAATCTTGCAACTTTTATTTGAAACTTTTTTGGATAACTCTTTGTTACTAAAATTCACTTTTTAAAAATGGCGATTTTCACTCTTTTCCAATGATCTAGGAAACGATTTAGTTTTTTCAAAATATCGCATCGGAATATCCATTAGCATCAAAAACTACACAACTTTGCCAATTTAACCGAATCTGTAAGTATAATAATCACAAAGATAGCCATGTTATCTTACTCAATTTAAGACACCCTGTATAGTGGCAGAAGAATCAAGCGCTTAGGGAAATTCTTCTTCCTCCGGCACTCCATTTTCGAGATATTCATACTTAGTTTTTACATCGGCAGTAGATATGTCTCGTCTAGACGTTCCAACCGCCTTTTGAGAGTACCCTCCTCTGGCACTCCGTTCGGCAGATATTCAGACGATTAATTTTGCCTTTGTGAGTACTCAGATATAAGGAATTATAACCGATCGCGATAAAGGGAAATGTCTTAAGTGTGGAAATGTGTAAGAAATTTTGGAAATGCTTCCCAATTTACGAAAAGTTTGTAAGAAATTATAGAATTCAATGGCTTGTGTCTACAGGGTGTCCCATTAATAAAGGTCAGAGACCATATCTATGGAACCGTTCATTGCACAGCTTCGGGAGTGAGTTGGGGGAAGGGAAATACCTCTGTGAGGAATTGCATGCAACGTCAATCTGTCATTGGACATTGCCAGTGTGACAAATGCGACTGGAAAAGTGACAGGTGCGGCCGGTAAAGTGACCGGACGCAGGGAAAGTAGTCCGATAACGTATTACTGCCACTGCCGTGGAAATTAATAGTTATTTACATAAAAGTCGGGAAAATGATACCATTACTGGCGAGGAAATATTGAAGGACGAGGCCGAGTACTTTATTTTCCGACTCAAGTAGTGTCATTTTAGTGACGAGTTTTGTATTAGATTTTACCCGAAATCGTATTTCAATATAAAATTTCAATTTTTATATACAACTTTCGCTTAATGTCAATCTGTCAGTGATGGTAGGAGTCATTATAGACATTTGGAAATGTCACAAATGCGGCCGCTAAAGTGACAGCTGCGGCCAGAAAAGTGGCAAGCTGCAGGAAACGTAATGTACTCTGCCTCTGTCATGGAAACTAAAATTTCCTGACAGAAAGTAGGCATGAAAATGAACGTTTCATGACGTTCTCGGCAAATCATCGGTCACTACCATTATTTTGGAATTTTAAAAAAGTTTAAAAAAAGAATCCACCAGTTCATTATTCCAAGATCCAAAGTATATGATGAATTGTACCATTTTTAAGTAAATCGTTATTCTTTCTTAAACATTAAAACAGAAAAGTAGGAATCAAAACGCATTAATTATTCATTCCCAAACCGACAGGAATAATATTTTTATTGTAGCAGACTTTTAAAGCAGTTTTCAGTTAAATGGTTCCCGACAAAGAAAGTTTTCCCTAATTCGGAAAAAACTATAGAAACGTTCAGCAATTTCATTTTGCTTGCTAGTAGGTGGAAAGTAGTTGGCACTTATAAGATTTTTCTTCCCGAGATAAAATCTCGGCGCGATAGAAAATTGGCGGAGAAGTTTTCTCATAACGGGCTTCATCGGTGACTGACATAACAATCGAATTAATTATAAATTAACCGTTACGTACTCGGTAGTTTATTGGTATAATGATGGTACGAATTGTGATACGATCATCTCCACGAAAAATTGTAATTATCTGCCTCAAACAGTCGTCCAATTGATCGGAAACTGAACTAAAGTAATGAAACTGGGGTACTCTGCTTTAATAACCGTAAGAGCCGTCCGGTAATTAATTCACTAATTTACTTACGAAAGCCCGCAAGTTGGGGGATAGTTGATAGTTACTTAACTAGAATTAAACTTACGTAAGCTCTCTGGCCACTATAATAATGCGACCAAAACAAACAGATTATTGCATACGAAACTGAATAATAAGCAATTACAGTAAATGATTAAGTTACATCACGAGCATTATATTTGAAAGTGAGTTACTGGAAGCTTTCGAGTATCTACTGGCCCCATCCGAATTACACTGCTTTACTTGTTTGTGTATTAAAAGCTCAGAGCAACACAAAACAAATTAAGAAAAGGTTCCGTTTTGTTTGCTCGTTTAATTTATACACCAAGGGCTTACCTTATTGTATTATATATCTCTAACATTATAACTCATAAGTACAGGGTGACCAAATAAGCGGGCACGTTACGGTATCTTGGAAACTTAATTGTAGAAACATGCGGTAAAGATTTTTCTAAATGGCTCATTGAATTTACTTTCAGGTCTCTAAGATAGAAGGCGTAATCTTGAGTCCAACAGTATCTTACCTACAGAATATACCCGATCACTATAAGAGGTCGAGGAGGAGGGCTAATTAGAAATGAATTCCTTTCGTTAAGACCTTTCATTAGAGTACCATGAAGGATAAAACTAGTTCCTCCCTCCACGACGTACTTTGATAAGAGGACAGAAAGAAGGGCAGTAGTTGGTAGAAAACGGTTCCTTTCGTTGAGACCTTTAATTAGAATACAGTGAGAGATAAAATTAATTTTTAATCCCCCCCCCCCCCTCAGGCCCCGTCGCTCACTGATCTCGAAAAAGAGTCGCACGGGAAAGTTATAGTTTTGTACAACCAATTTATTTCGATGAGACCTTTCATTAGAATACCATGAAGGGTAGAACATGTGTTTTAACCCCCCCCCCCCGCGAAATTTGATGGCCGTCTGGCACACCTTCAAGGTATAGGCTACCTACTGCGAACAATTCCAGGACTCTAGGACCATTCCCCTAGAAGTAGTTCAAAACGGTAGAAGTGGGTCTAGACGGACGGACGGACGGACAAAACGCAAACAATAGCACTTTTTTTTTTAATTCTTAAAAAATGCGCAAAAAATACAAGAATTTTGAATTTGAGGTGACACCCAGTGGTCAAACTTGATGTAGTTACAATAGTACTTTTTATCCTATACAAGGAGAAACTTACATTTTCTCGCCTGTGTGAGGACGGGAAAGAAGACAATTGCACGCATGGAGCGAGAAAATTCAATTTTGTCGGCTAGGCGAGAAAAAAAATACGCCTTATGTACGCTAGATGGCGCGATTGTAATAAAATGTCAAAGAAGTTATTTCTTTTTATTAAATAAGAAACATAAAATCGTCAACACTGATTTAATAATTAAATTTACCCTATGTTCACTTTATTTTACTGAATTCAAGAATTTATTTAATTACCGCGAACCTCTATAATTATACCTATCAATGTTTCGTGAATTTGAATACTTTCACAACATCACGTGACCAATTCAGACGTTTCAAACTTGTCATAATCTTCCATGTACTTTCAATAACGAGCATCTGTGTCAATACATTTAACACCAAGATGTACTTTGCACTGTAAGTAGAACACCGCTTATCCGCAATAAGTAGCATTTTAACATACGAGACTATCCCGAAGTTAAAATGTGTCCAGTGTGACTGTAAGGAATGAATAAATCTATTTATAAAACACATTTTTTTTAAATACAAGATCATCAAGGATTTAAAGTGTGCCCATTGCGCTTTCGTCGCCAAGCATAAATCCAGTCTTAAAATTGACAAGACATGGATACTGCGAAGGATTTAAAATGTAACCGGTGTGATTTTGTCCCTGAAAACACACATTCAATTTTAAAACACATTTGTTAATACAGAAGACCAGTAATAATTACATATGCGCCTGGTATTAATTACAACCCCTTAAATCCCGTTATTTTCTAAGGAAATAATCACGCGCCAGTGAAATGCCGGAAATGTCAACTCAGTTCGCACATGATCGGTATTCTCTACTTGCACCTCTGCTCTGTTGCACCGTGACTCCCTTCGGTGACTCCGCACTGTGCAATCGCAAGCGCGCTAGAATTTGAATTTGCGTTGAACTGTATTATAAGGGAAAGGGGTAAATCTACTAGTAAAAAATATACTCGTGGGCCCACTTAGATTGCACCGTTTCGTAAAATTTTTTTCGCGTAGTCAGCAGGTAACGTGGAAATAAACAAAACAAACGCGTGCACGTTGACGCGTTAAAGCAAATCCAAATTCAAGCGCTTGCGGTCGGACGTTGTTGAGCGATTAATTTTAAATGTAAGTGTATAGGATAAAAAATATTGTGTGCACCACGGCACGAAAGTTGTTTTCCGGGCCTCAGGAAGTGGCCAGCCTCGGCTGCGCCTCGCCTGGCCATATCTTCCTTCGCCCCGGAAAACAACCACTATCCCGCCTTGGTACACAAAAATATTTTTTAAACAAAACCGACCTAATTACTAATTTTGCCAGTATAAGGTATGTAATTGTTTTTGTGTGCTCCTAAACCACAGAATCAGGATTGGGTCATCGCCAATATTTGTAGGAATAACTCAACAGTCGAAATCTTGTGTAAATCGTGGACATAACCAATGAAATTTGTTCTTGAAGACATGATTTACCGAATTACTAGACGCCATCTTGATAAGGGTGTTCATTAATTTATACAAAATAGGTAGGGATTAATCTGAAGGAAGTTTTTTTGGAGGCATTACCGGTCAAGCCGCGAGAGAACTCGTGACTTTTTTTCAGGAGATTCGACCTTCAACCACGCAAGAAATTTATCGCGAACAAATTTAGATTGGGGTTACCAGCGCGTTCAATGTGGGCCAAATGTAGATATTTTTCGTTTTTTTTTTTGTGAAGAACGTTAGTTTTTTTCACAACTTCGTTTAGTGGTGTCCCATCTTAAGGTATTCATTTTGGAAAGAGCAAACCAAAAACCTAGGCAATGTCGTTACATCCATACTCGTTAAGATAAAAATCAAAAAAAGCAACGCAAATTTTGAAACTTTTTGGGATGCAGTTACAAAACCTAGGTCTGTGGCTTGCGAGATGGCTGATGCTGTAAAGAAATCTATGTCAACATTTATTATTTAATATATGAAAATCCTGTCCCCCTAAACATTTTTTCATTCATATCCTTAAAATTGCCGATCATTTCTGGCGTCATAACCGCCTTATGACCACCGAAAATTCCCTCTCTAGTAAACGGATTGCAATCCCCATTGAATTGGGCTAGCATATCCTCGTGGTTAAACGCGGGATTCTTCTTCAGCGAATCAAAACTGAGATGATCCATAAGCTTAGGCATTTCTTCCTCTGGCACAGTTTTTCCTAGGAAGTTCGCTACTTGACGGATGATCGCCGCCAGGTCCTTCTTCATATCTTCGTACCTGATGAACAGCATACTGTGGTGTTCTCTTTGGTCCCACACGCTTAACACTTGGGACCAGTAGGGACCTTGAAGAACTGTAAAATGTTATCGGTGGGAGTTCGTGAGATCGTGTTTTACCTTTTCCGGCCAAAAATAGCTTGCAGAACTCTTCGAAGCTCCCCTTAAATCCCAGAGTTGTTCGGTGATGGTGGAACTGGGAGAGGCACACGTCTTCGACGGAACGAAGTACGACAATGAACTAGAGTTTCTGTTAGTTTTTGTTACAGACAACTGAAGAAAAACCAACCTTTGGTTTCTTGGCGTTACTGGTAATTTCGTTTGGAAACAAACTCCAATGTAGATGTGTTTTGATTAGGCGAGGTCGTTCCATTTCGGACAGTATTTTTCCGACGTTGATGTTGTAGAATGAAACTCCGTCGGTCCTAAACGAAAGTTTTAGTGGGTCAATCTTTCTATACTGTCGTGAGGGTAATTGTATGGATTCAGTTATATTTTTGATTTTTGAAAGACAAGGAGGGGACAATGTAATGGGCCAATATTTGCCGCCGGATAAGGTCTCAATTACTTCCATCTCACCTCAATCGAGATATCTCTTCATCCGCTAGAAATAGTTAAGCTCCTCCCGAAAGACTCCTGGTACATTTAAATGAACATTTATTATTGGTAGAATTTTTGAAACCCGTAACACACTCAATCACTAGTATTTTTATTAAATACACTGTAGAAGCGGGGGGGGGGAGCGTCTTAAAAATCAGAAAAAATATCAAAGATTTAAATTTTAAAAAACAAGCAAATATTTTGAAAAATTTAAACAATTCAGAAAATAGGACAATTTAAAAAAACAACAAAAATTTGGAAAAATCCGAATAATTTCTTGAGAAAATAAATCTAAATTTGTGATTAGGTGTGCACAAATTTGAAATTTAGAATGGTGAAAAATGGGGACATGATATACTCTAACGTGCCATATTCTTCATGCCCCCCCCCCTCTCTCCCCAATCTAAAACATTGAATTTCGTGTAATGCAAAACTCCCTAAGAGAGAGGCAAACATAATAACACAAACATTCCGAAAGATTGAGAACAATTGAAAAATTGGCATTATTCGGAATATGAGAAAAATAAAATCTTACACAAAAAGTCGAAGATAAGATTGTAATTTAAAAAATAGAGAAAGATTCAAGCAATTCCGAAAAACTTGAAACAGTTCCTGCAAGTGTATAGAAAAATTCAAAATTGTTTCCGCCGGTAAGGATAATAAAAACCTGAGAAACAGCTACAAAATCATGTTAATTAAAAAAAATTAGATTCATTACATTAGATAAATTCAGATAATCTAAAAATTAAAGTGTATGCAAAAGATTCATTAAAATGGGGAAATTTAAAGAAAAGTAAAAAAGCTAAAATATTCCAAAAATTCAAAGAGGAAAAAGAATTGGAGGATTTCATAACTATTCAACAGTTCGCAAAATGAGACAATTGAAAATGCTCGTATACATTTTTAAAAATAACAGTGTACCCAAAAATTCTAATCCATAAAAATTAAAAAAAAACGGAGACACATTTGAAACTAATCACAAAAAGAAATCTTTTAAAAAATTACACTCCATAGACATATTAAAATTTGATACTTGATCGACCGGAAAATCGACACTATAAGGCAGCAGTACTTAATAGCGAAGCAGTTTGGCATCCTCCATCGATTTAGGTGCTGACGTGGGCCAAAAAATGATTCACAAGTATCCAGTTTTTAAAATTTAGTAATTCAGTAATTCATATTTGGAAATATTTGTGAATGATCGGTCTTAGAATCCCTTCTGCACCTTAATATAAACCAGTTTTTTCTAAGGGATCTATATTTGTGATATATGGTTTCTATACTCATAAATTGTTATGCCTTCACAACATTCGGCTATGCGACTAAGAAATGACAGAAAAAATAAACTTACGCTTTCAAGCGTGTTTAATAGCTTTATCTGATTCTAAGGGAATTGATATTTTTTTGTAAAGAATGTAAAGTCATCGGCAAAGAATGGTCGTTTGTTTGAAGATCGAAAATTCGATTTCCTAGCGAAAAAAAAACTAAATTGTGGGAAATGCTGATCAATAAACAAGGTAATTTCTTTTCATTTAGCATTGATTAATTAACCTGAATACATGATAATTTGTACGTAACTTTCACAGTTCACAAAATTTGCGGGTGGTTTAATTGCCTTACAATGAATACATCACTGAGGGCGTAATTTCTGGACTTAATTAAGATTGAGGCTGTTGCGCTTGGTTCAGTTATTTGTTTTACCTAAATTGTATAGAATTTGCGAAATTATGTGCCGAATAAAGACAATTATTTGTAATTGGTATTAAGTTTTCTAAATATACGAGCATGTAAATTATATTAAATTTAGCTGGAATTATTAATTATTCAGTGAACATAAATTGGAGTAATTTGCCGGTTGCGAAACTTATGGAAGTAAATTCACATTCTCGCAATTTTTAATAGCAAGTACAGTGAGCGGTTAAAATATGGAACAAATTCATTTAAAAATCAGGTGTTGGATTTTAAACTAACGCTCGCACATCTCTATCATACTTTTTCTTGCGCATTTTTTGCACTAAAGAGAAAATATACAGGGTGTGAAAAAAGTAGATTTTAATACCAAAGTTGATTTTTTAAATGGAACAATATTTTTTAAACCCAACACCTGATTTTTACATGAACTTGTTCCATATTTTAGCCGCTCACTGTAAATATTGGGTGATTAGAGCGACTAAAACTAACATTGTTTATCAATGACCAAGAGGCTCAACTATTGTGTTTTTTTCTTTAATTGTTTTACAAGCAAAACACATAGAAGACCGGAACCAACGATTTTTCCTAGATTTTTGGAAATGATCTTTGTAGATTTTGTAAGCAATTTTCAAAAATTGCGCTAAACGACGGTGCTGATCGCGAGAAAAATCAATATTAGTTAAAAAAATTCAAACTACAATTTTTTAGCGGACAACAAAAATGGCCCATTTTCATGAAAACTGAGCAACAATTTTTGACTCTTGTTTTTGCATACAATTGTTAAACAAAAAGGATTTTGTTGTCGGTATCGCATGTGTATTCCATAATGTGCTCGCCTCGGGTAAAGGTGTTCCCGCATACGTAAATCAATCAGTTTTATTTAATATAAAGCGTCTCTGGGAATATTCTTGGAAGGTTGCTCAGTAACGTTACTTCAAACTGAGACTGAAATAAAAATCCTCAGATCGCTTTCTGCAAATGCAAAAGATTTCTTTTGCTCGTATGCTTTGTTGGAAGCTTTCAAAAACGCACGTGGTTTAGAGTAGGTAGGTTCCACTTTTTAATCGCAGTATTGATTGAAGTTTTGAATGAATGCACCAAAGGGTTGAATATTTAAATGCCTTTGACATTACCTTCATATGTACAAGCATTAACGATGCATTTGAGACTTTGTTTCAAAGATGCTTCCTATTCATCTACGCCAACATCCTTTATTATTCTTTATAATAGACTTTTGCAATTGGATTTTGCACCTACCAACTTTTCTTCTGCTTTTGCAACAAGTCACTGAATGGACGGTGTATTATTTTCTTCAATCGAAGTCAACCTTATTTTGACTGATTTTTATAGGCAAACGTCAAGTGACATTTCCAAGGCAATCACGGAGTTACCAATGAATGTATTCCAATATAACGTTAAGTCATATGATTTCATTTTATTTCCCTTATTTTTAAATTATATTGCAGGTATAATTAAAAAAATACTATAAGAAACGCTTGTATATTTGGTCTTTAGCATTTGAATCGTTGCATTCGTTGCGCTTGCTTAAAAGACTTGATTATACACTGTTTTTTAATATACTATTTTTTTTATTAAGTTTGATTTCGTCATTTTTATATTGAAAGATGCCAGTACAAAGTTTCAACGAGAGTAAATTTTGAAGAATGTCTACAATTTACTACTCCTATGTGTTTCGACCAAAAAATTACGTAAGCAACGTAAATTTTGAGACTTCTGTGCACGTAACCAATAATTATAATCCCGCGTTTATTTGGAAAAAAACACTTTTTTTTTGTTTCCACGCTCAAATTCCTTTTAACGTAATTGGTAACTGCATTGGGTACCATAATGAGATCACATATCATACCAAGCTACAGGAGAAGGGAAAGCATTGATGAGTAGTGACTGGGGCCTACTGAGTACTGACCGATAAAGCAATTGTATTTTTCAGAATTATTCAAAATCCAAAAAAAATATTATTTTGGTTTTCGATCGATAGTGGGCACAGCTTTAGCTAATAGCAACTCCCCCCCACTCAACCATTATACAATCACAAACAGCCATTCCTTATCTGGGATTCAAACCAAGGACCCTGCCAAACTGAGAACTACTAACGTAAACTCATCTGAGCTACGTCACATTTGACTATGACTTAGTATACAGGATGTTTGAGAAGTTTGGGGTTGATAAAAATGATAAATAGTACACTGGGACACACTTTTTTTATTATAGCCATCCTTTTTCAACTAATGTATTCTTACTCACTCTAGTGTCGGAAACCGGTTTATCAAATCTACTTCCTTTGCCTTCCCGTAATTGAAATCATTGCATATCAACCAAACCATTTCTTCCGTCCAACGAGTTCCTGTAATCCAAGTCATACACGCAGTCATCGTTTCACCGCTCACTTACCAGATTTAGGGTAACCCACAACAAAGATGTCATCGTCGTGGATCGGAAACTGTTTGATCTCCTCGTACACACTTTCATACTCGCTTATCATCAAATTATTAAAGGGGCCTACTTCTATAAAACCTCCGATTGAAGGTGAGCCGTATAGGCGTTTGACCATACGATTTAATTCCGTGGTGTCATCAAGAGTTCTGATATACGGCATTTCGGTACTCATCACCATGCGGTTTTTATCAGCACTCTCACTTTTGGTTACGTAATTATTTACTTAGCCTATTTTTATCACCTATACGTCAAAAATTGATCTACGTTTTAGCTTAGAGTTGCGTGTGAAACTGATTCTAATCCTTCCTTTATTAATAATAATAATTATATGTATGTCACGGTCGTCTGCCTAATTTAGCAACTCATTATAATCTGATCGCCACCGAAAATGTTTAGAAATTGATACGCAAATCCATCTAGCAGTTTTATTTTTAAGTACTGAACAGAAAGCTATACATTCGCGTGAAGTTAGCAATAGACTTGCGTATTTAATCTGTAGTCACAAATATGCAAAAATATGCTAATCGTGTAACTTTGACATCTATTTTTTAAATTCAGCTTTGTGCGGTTTTTAATAAAAATAGATTTTTAGTATTGAAGGATAAAATTTGGCCTAAAACGAAATATATTTTCTTAATCTACCAGACAAAGTTGTTACATTAGATGGATGGATTATATTTTATGATCATTGTCGGTAGGTTAGACGTAACGACACTGTCACTACAACGGATTTTCTGAATTTTTGAGTGAATTTCTCCTGTGCATTTTTCAAAAATAGAAACTACCATTGTTTTATCCATCCGTCTGTCCATGTGAGAAAAGTGATATTTATTGTAAATATCTCGTGTGCAGATAAAGTACATTTTTTAAACCGAAAAGCTTAATAAGTAAATTAAGATAAAGGTTAAGTTATAAGGTGAAGGGAAGAGGGGGGGGGGGGGGGAGTTCCTTGCACATAAACATTTTCAGATTGTATACTTTTAGAATTTTCAAAATTTTGTGAATTTGAATATGGGCGTAATTTTATCTTCTTTAGTTTTTACAGCAGGTTTTCCGAACGTTTCTAATTTGATTTTTATAGTTACTTCTCTCTCGGAGACACTACTTCTGTATACATTTTTAATTTTCCGAGTTTTCATCAATCCCTAGTTGTGAGATTGGTCTATGCTCTGCGTGTGCCAGGTCCCCTTTTTGTGTAGTAAAAGTGCCCGAACATTTTCCCGCCTTGTTCACTATATTTGAATATGCAACACGGAATAGGTCCTCACAAACGGCAAGTGGAACGTCTGAGTGACAAGTATCTGTTTATGGAATCACAAATTCAAGTGTAAATATCAGTCGGAAGAGGTTACTCACAAAGGAAAATTCGAATATCTCGATAACGGGGTGTTGCGGTAAAGTGGAAGGTCTGGACGGGCCATATTTCTTGTTCCGAGGTAGTTTTTCCCTTCTTTTCGAAAATTTAATTTCCTTCTGAGTTAATGTTGACATTTTTCGAGTGCGAAATCGAAGACGACTTGTGGCCCGCGTGTTGTACGATCGAAATTGCGACACATTAACTCGATACGGTCGTCCTCTGCAGAAATTTTTATGACAAACCAGTTGCCTGTTTACTTCCCTTTGCAAGGAATTATAAGTGTCATGAAAATTAACTCAAGCTGCATACATTCATTATGATTAAATACTGAAATCAAACAAATTCCTACAATTTTCTTAAAACGATAAAAGAAACCTAATTCCTAGCTAAACTCAAAAATATACCTACTGGCCAGATAATTAAATTTATCTTAGTAAATAACGTGACACATCATGCTAAATAAGTAAATCTAAATTATTAAATAAATTGTTTAAACAATAAAAAGAAAATTCTATACCTTATTTGTAAGATGCACTTCTGTTAAAATCGTAAAAATCCGGCCACAAATATGAAAGATAGCGTTGCATATGTGCAATCCATATTTGACGTGCTACTTCAATTTCAGTTTATAAGAAAAATTTCATTGCAATGCTTTTCTAAATAAGAAAGTTGGCACTGCGCATGTGCAGAACCAAATTTTGAAACTGGCGTTAAATATTGCTTTATTCCAAGTGCTATGTATGAAATTTCATTTAAATACTTTTATAAATAAATAAAAAAGTTTGCAATTCGGTTTATAAATGCTCGAGATGAAAAAAGGCCACTGTGATTTTGAATCGATTCGACTCAACTTTTGGCATTGCGTATTATATGGCTAAAGCTATGCCCATATTGAATTTCATGCAATTCAGTTCATAACTAACGGAGATGTCAAAGCGATCGGACATTTCTAAACAAAGTGATCGTTCACACGGACAGATAGAGGGACAGACAGACAAAGGAACAGACGGACAGACCGACGACAGACAGCAATACAAAATTATCTCTAGGATCGTTAATAAACGGCAAAAGTGTAAAATTATAGAACATGTAAAAAACGGTTTGTTGGTTTTTTTACAATAACTTTTTTAGCAATAAACGCAGAAAAAATTCCTTCCTTGGTGCAAGCCTCGACACCATAACGAACCAAATAGCGAAAAAACTAGAACAATAGCTCTTAAGATAAAGAACTAGTAGCGTCTCAACGAACGAGCGGACGGACAAAGTGGTTGTATTTTTTTTGTGGAAATGCGCTAAAAAACATTCTCAACTATAAGGGTTTGGTTGCTTTACATTTAGTAGAAGCACCTCACCACTCTGAAAAGTGGTACTTTCCAGTATATACAATTTTTCGATTTTGTATATATTTGCTCGTGTAAGGGCGGGAAAAAATAACCCCCACCACCGAGGGCGCTGCATGTCGTAGAAGACGATTAAAGAACGGCGAGCGAGCCGCAACCCCAACGCTGGAGGTTGGAGGGCGGAAGGTGTTTTTGGAGTGTAAAGGTTTTGACTTCTATTTTACCGATTGTGACTTCTTTCTCGATTGTGGCGATTGTAGAGGATTATATATTTTTTGTTTGTGTGTGAGTGGTCCTTAAGTACGGTCTTGACTGTTTAAATGCTTGAAAACTTAAGGCGCCTGTTAGTCGTGGGATATGGTGTGATTGCTTCAGAAGAGTTTGCAGTCGTCGCTATTTGAGTTGCTGCGTCGTGGGATTTTCAACATCATCAAGTTACTCAATTGATTGATAGCCGTCAAGGAATCTGATTGGTTGTGAAAATTTGTTTATTGGTGGAAAAGTTGTGGGAAGTTGTTTGTCTGGGAGACCCGTCAGGAAATGTGCGTTAAACTATGAGCGACGTTCGGTCAAACACCTGTAAATTATCGCAGGATGGGTTTATTGTGTCAGAGAATTCACGTTATAGCCGGTTAGCGACGTTTCTTCTAACGCCTGTATATTGCCATGGAGTGTGTTTTAATTCGCACTTAGAAGTGAGACAGGATTAGGTAAACTACCTATAAATTTAGCGCAGGGTGGTTTAATACCGGGTGATCGGAAAGTAGTGCGGACAGTTTGAATTTCCCACAAAACAAAACATTTATAAAGTTGGTAACATACCAAATGTCATTTATTTAAAAGCAGTGGTGGATCAATTTAATGGATCACTAAACAATAATCACAATTAATTAATTAAAAAAAATTAATTTATCAAGCTCAGTTGAACGCTCGGGTTCATGTATTCAAATATCTATTCCAACGTTGCCCGAGCAATAGTCATGCTCATTAAACCATCACCGTAAGGTTCATTTTATTTGCCTACATAGGTACAATAAGACGTATCCACGTCTTCTCATAAATTAACGTCATCAACACTGGATGAAAACATTCCGCGAGACATTCCGATATCAATGTGTTAAATTTTGTGCCACATATTATGCGATAAGTCTGTAAAAATAACAAATAGGGATGTTATCGTTCACATTTTTATACCCACCAACTTCATTAGAGAATTTTCGGAAACCATTTCTTGGGGCTACGTTTTTTTTACACCTTCGCCATCATGGTAAGTAGCACATTTATCGTTGAATTGCAGTAAGCACAACTGAGTCGAATATGAGCATCTTTTAAACATGTACGTCGTGTACGCCTTTCAATTGTGCATCAAAAGACATCTACTTTAAAGCCTTTATGCCTAAAAAGTAAGGTTACATGATCCTTATAAAGTATGTTCTCTTAATTTACGTACCTTTACGAAATGATGCACGTGCGAAGACCTTTTTAAAAAGAGCTGTTTGCTTTGAAACGCCTGGATCACAGTACGAAGATTAGAAAATAAAATTCACATAAAACACTACGCCAATGGATGGCAATTAATGCATAAATAAACCAACTTCTAAACATGTTTGCCAATTCCTTAAGTAAAAAACACTAAAAATTTAAAGCGCCAAATTTAAATTGTCTGCAGTTTTTTTCGATCACCCGGTATATTGCTATGTGGCAAACGGTCACTAAAACACCCACAACAAACACATGCCAAGTCAGCTCCGTTAAACTCGGATACCAACCAACCCATTTTACGTTTTTATTAAACTTTCCTTCCTGAACCTTCGCTTATCTGAACTTTTCGCAGACGATTACAAACTCTTATCGAATATAACCGATTTTAAAAGAAACTTAAAAAAAGTAACAAAATTGTGCACAACCCTTTCTGCAGCTAAAGCGCAAATTTTTTTAAAATACCCCTACGAAAATAATCTTCTATAAATAAGAAAGTGGGGCACTGCACCATCCTACCAACAACCAAATTTGGAAAATAGCTCTACATTTTGCTTTTAATTCCAAGTGGCCATGTATCAATTTCATTTATCTCCATAAATAAGAAAGTTGGTACTGCGCATGTGCAAAACGAAAATTTTGGAAACTGGCGTCTAAATTGGTTGTTATGGCTATGTAATCAAATTTTATTTAAATGCCCAATTTTTAATTCTTTTCCCAATCGTCCTTTATAGGTACTTTTCTTTGACGATTTCCCTCTTTAAGATATAGGAATTATAACCGATCACGATAAAGGGGATCGAGGAGAAGACTACTGGTTAGTATAAATTATTTCCTTTCTTGGAACTTTTCATTAGAGTAACAGAAGGGATAAAACTAGTTCCACCTCCTCCCCCCTCCCCTCCACCACTTTGAATAAGAGGACAAAAAGAAGGGGCAAGTAGTTTACGAAATTGATGGCCGTCTGCACAACCTTCACAGGTATAGGCTACCTACGCAAACATGGGTAGGACAGCAG